CTGCAGTGAGCCAAGATGGCGCCGCTGCACTCTAGCCTCAGCAACAAGAGCAAAACTCTGTCTTAAAAAAAAAAAAAATGAACAAGAGGGAAATCTACCCCCATGTTCCAATCACTTTCCAGCAGGCCCCTCCTCCAATGCTGAAGATCGTAATTCAACATGAGATTTGGATGGAGTCACAGAGCCAAACCGCATCAGGAACATGTGCAGGTTTATTAGGCATTTGGTAAATTTTTGTCCAAACCTTTTAATTTTAGCCTTTTGCATGAATGTGTTTTAAGCATGTCTCTTGTATGCAGCATAGTGCTGGGCTTTGCTTTATGAGGCAATGTTAAACCCTTTTTATTTTATTTATTTATTTTTTGATTGTATATGTTTTTACTTTATTATGCACCTAAATATTGCTGACCCATCAACAGAATAGCCCAGCCAGACATATGTAATAGTAATTAAATGCAGTTGTCTTTGATACTTTGCTGACTTTACATGGAAAACGTAGCTTTTACATATTTTTAGATTTTTTCATTTTTATTTTTCAGTTTCTTTTTTATTTCAGTAGGTTTTGGGGAATGGTTGGTGTTTGGTTACATGAATAAGTCCTATAGTGGTGATTTCTGAGATTTTGGTGCACCCATCACCCAAGCTGTATACCCAATGTGTAGTCTTTTGTCCCTCACCTCCCTCCCACCCTTTCTTCTCAGTCCCCAAAGTCCATTGTATCATTCTTTTGCCTTTGTGTCCTCATAGTTTAGCTTTAATATTTTATTAAAAATATTATTATTATTATTTTAAATAAATAGAGATGGTGTCTTCCTATGTTGGCCAGGCTGATCTTGAACTCCTGGCCTCAAGCAGTCCTCCCGCCTCAGCCTCCCAAAGTGCTAGGATTATAGGTGTGAGCCACCACATTTGCCCCCCTTTTTCTTGTAATAAGTGAATTAAGCCCATTTGTATTTATTCACATTACTGTTAAGCTTGGTCTCAATTCTCTCATTTTATTTTATGTTGTAATTACTGTGTGTATATATTACATTTACTGTATTTCTTTCTCTCTCTCTCTCTTTTTTTTTTTTTTGAGACAGAGTCTCACTCTGTCACCCAGGCTGGAGTATAGTGGCACGATCTTGGCTTAATGCAACTTTGACCTCCCCAGTTGAAGCGATTCTCCTGCCTCAGCCTCCTCTCCTGAGTAGCTGGGATTACAGGCATGCACCACTACACCTGGCTAGGTTTTAAAATTTTTAGTAGAGACAGGGTTTCGCCATGTTGGCTAGGCTGGTCTTGAACTCCTGACCTCAGGTGATATGCCTGCCTGGGCTCCCCAAAGTGCTGGGATTACAGGTGTGAGCCACTATGCCCAGCCAAAACATGATTGACTTTGATGAGTTGACTTTGTGTCCTGCAGTCTTGCTAAGAGCTTCTTTGTAGATTCCTTGGGATTTTCTACATAGACAATCATGTTGTGTGAGAACAGAGACAGTTTTATTTATTCTTTCCAACCGGTTATATGCCTTTTATTTCCTTTTTCTTGCCTGATTTCACTAAAGTAGAACTTTGAGTAGGATTTTGATTTCGAATAGGATTCGTAAAAGTGGACGTCTCTCGCCTTTTTCCTGATCTTCTAGGGAAAACATTCAGTCTTTTTCATTACGTATGATGTTAGCTGTAGGTTTTTGGTAGATGATCTTTAGCGGGTTAAAGAAGTTTCCTTCCATTCCTACTTTGATGAGAGTTTTTTGTCAGGAATGAATGTTGAATTTTGTCAAATGACTTTTCTGTATCAATTGATGATTGTGTGGTTTTTCTGTTTTAGTTTCTTAACATGGTGGATTATATTGATTGATTTAAAAATGTTCAGCCAACCTTGCGTTCTCTGGATAAACACCAACTGATCATGCTATGTGTTTACGTATGTTGCTGGATTTGATTTGCTAATATTTGTTGAGGCTTTTTACTTCTATGTTTATAAGGGATATTGGACTGCAATTTCTTTTCTTGTCATGTCTTTGTCTGATGTTGTAATCAGGATAATGATGGCCTCATAAAATGAGAAGTGTCCTTGTCTAGAAAATGGAAGAGGAAGGATTGTATAGAACTGATGTATTCCTTAAATATTTGGTAGAATTTACTAGTGAAACTATCAAGGCCTGGGAATTTCTTTTTTGGAAGGTTTTAAACCACAAATTCAGTTTCTTTAATTGATATTCCATTCAGTTGTCAGTTTCTCTTTGGGTAAGTTTTGGTGTTTTATGTATTTCATGGAATTGGTCCATTTCATCTAAGTTGGTGAATTTATGTGAATAAAGATGTTCGTGGCATTCTCTTATTCTCATTTTAATGTCGTTGGAGGTATATAGTAATATATCTTCCGTTTCTTTTCTTTTCTTTCTTTCTTTTTTTTTTTTTTTTGAGATGGAACTTGGCTCACTGCAACCTCCACCTCCTGAGTTCAAGCAATTCTCCTGCCTCAGCCTCCTGAGTAGCTGGGATTACAGGCCTGCACCACCATACCTGGCTCATTTCTTACCTATCACTTTAAACTGGAAATGGCACTGTTACTTGAAACTGTCTCCCCTCCTACCTTCCAAGACCCCACACTTTCCTGGTTCTATTTCTACCATCTAATAATTGTATTAGTCTGTTCTTGCATTGCTATAAAGAAATACCTGAGACTGGGTAATTTATAAAGAAAAGAGATTTAATTGGCTCATGGTTCTGCAGGCTGTACAAAAAGCATAATGACTTCTGGGGAGGCCTCAGGAAACTTCCAATCCATAGCAGAAGGCAAAGAGGAAGAAATAACTTTTTTTTTTTTTTTAAACGGAGTTTCACTCTTGTCACCCAGGCTAGAGCGCAAGGGCATGATCTTAGCTCATTGCAACCTCTGCCTCCTGGGTTCAAGTGATTCGCGATTCTCCTGCCTCAGCCTCCTGAGTAGCTGGGATTACAGGTGTGCACCACCACGCCCCGCTAATTTTTGTATTTATAGCAGAAATGGGGTTTCACCATGTTGGCCAGGCTGGTCTCAAACTCCTGAACTCAGGTGATCCACCCACCTCAGTCTTCCAAAGTGCTGGGATTATAGGCGTGAGCCACCATGCCCGGCAGCATATCTTTGTGTGTGTGTGTGTGTGTGTGTGTGTGTGTGTGTGTAAGATAGGATCTCGCTCTGTCACACAGGCTGGAGTGCAGTGGTGTCATCTTGGCTCACTGCAGCCTCGACCTCCTGGGCTCAAGTGATCCTCCTGCCTCAGTCCCCCAAGTAGCTGGGATTATAGGCATGCACCACAATGCCCAGCTAATTTTTGTTTGTTTGTAGAGACAGGATTTCGCCATGTTGCCCAGTCTGCTCAAATTCCTGGGCTCAAGCTATCTGCCTGCTTCAGCCTCCCAAAGTGCTGGGATTACAGGCGTGAGCCACTGTGCCCAGACAGCAGGCACATCTTACATAGCCAGAGCGGGAGGAATTGGGGCACAGGTGCCACACACTTTTAAACAACCAGATCTCATGAGAACTCACTATGGCGATGACAGCACCAAGGGAGGATGGTGTTAAACCATGAGAAACTACCCCCATAATCCAATCCCCTCCCACCAGGCCCCACCTCCAACATTGGGGATTACAATTCAACATGAGATTTGGGTGAAGACGCAGATCCAAACCATATCAAGAATTTACTCTGCAACCTTCATAGCATATTGGTGCTCCCTCAAACTCTGTACTTGGTGCTTCTCTCAAACTGTGCTCTTTCTTAGCTATCCAATTTATTCTGGTGGTTTCAGCTGGTACTGAAATGATCTTACCCTCCCCAAACCTTGGCCTCTGCTAGCCTTCTCTCCTGAGCTCCAGCTGGACATCTCCGTCAGTATGTTCCATAAACACTCTAAAATCAATCTCAATTTTTCTTCCATCAACTCATTGTCTATCCTGTTTTGCTAATGTCTATATGTGACTCCAGCCTCATCCCAGCTGTTCATGCAGTTATCCTGGGAGCAATACTGTCTCCCTTTCTCCCACAGAACAGCACTTCTGTATTGTTTATAAGTATAAATATATTTTGTTTGTTCGTTTTGAGACAGAGTCTCTCTGTCACCCAGGCTGGAGTGCAGTGGTACAATCTCAGCTCACTGCAGCCTCTACCTCCTGAGTTCAAGTGATTCTCTTGCCTCAGGCTCCTGAGTAGCTGGGATTGCAGGCACCCTCCACCATGCCCAGCTAATTTTTAATTTTTATTTTTTATTTGTAGTAGAGATGGGGTTTCACCATGTTGGCCAGGCTAGTCTGAACTCCTAACCTCAAGTGATCTGCCTGCCTTGGCCTCCCAAAGTGCTATGATCACAGACGTGAGCCACCATGCCCAGCCAGCTGCTGCTGCTTCTTTTTTTTTTTTTTTCAAGACGGAGTCTTGCTCTGTCACCCAAGCTGGAGTGCAGTGGTGTGATCTTGGCTCACTGCAACCTCCGCCTCCTGGGTTCAAGCGATTCTCCTGCCTCAGCCTCCTGAGTAACTGGGACTACAGATGTTCACCAGCAAGCCCAGCTAATTTTTGTATTTTTAGTAGAGATGGGGTTTCACCATGTTGGCCAGTCTGGTCTTGAACTTCTGACCTCAGGCGATCTGCCCAGCTTGGCCTCCCAAAGTGCTGGGATTACAGGTGTGAGCCACTGCGCCCAGACTGCTTCTTCATTTTTTAACCCAGCAACTTGCACATGTCCGGACACATAGTGTTTGTTTTTTTACTGGTTTTCCAGAAATATGCTTACTGAGGCACATAGTGTTAACTCAGGAGTGCAGTGGTCTTTTCTTCATGCATTAATAAATTAACACAGTAACAGAGCTGTTCTGGGTATCCCCCACCCCAAAAGTATATCAAGCAAGACATGAAATCAGGTATCCAGTGTAGCTCTTTTTAGTCAACTTTCAACAGGGCTCCATTGAGAAGATTCCTGCACATCTTTTTCATGCGTCCCATTCTGATCACTGGAGATTGTTATTACAGGGGTCCGTGTCATTCGAGGACGTGGCTGTGGATTTCACCCGACAGGAGTGGCACAGACTGGACCCTGCTCAGAGGACCATGCACAAGGATGTGATGCTGGAGACCTACAGCAACCTGGCATCTGTGGGTGAGGATGATTGTCCGTGTAACTCCTAGGAGCATGTGTTTCCTTTCTTGGTTGCTGTAACATGTGCAGCCTTGTGAGGGTTTAATGATATTGAGAGTCACAGATGAGTAATCAGTTTAGGGCACCAGGAAAAATGTGTGTGTTCTTACTTCCCCAATGAAAGCTTTAAATGGGCCCCCTTCCTTGTGCAGCTCATGAAGATGCACCTTCCTCCTCCATCAGAGGCCCTAGAGCTCAGACAACTTGGCCCACGTCCTGTGCCATTTCCCATTAACAGGCCTCTGCGTGGCCAAACCAGAGATGATCTTCAAGTTGGAGCGAGGAGAAGAGCTGTGGATATTAGAGGAGGAATCCTCAGGCCATGGTTACTCAGGTAAGTGGGCAAGAACTGGACATATGGAAAATAGGGGAAATAAGAGCCCGGAAATTCAGGTCAAAGGGTGCAGCACTTTCTAGGAATCTCTTTTTAGAGGTCCTAGCTCTTTGAAAATAAGGACGGAAGGTCTACATGCTTCAGATACCAAAGTCACACATCTTAATATCACACTCAAACTTCAGTGCTTTCTCCTGTTTTATCTTGATTTTTTCTTTTTTTTTTTGATGGAGTCTCACTCTGTTACCCAGACTGGAGTGCAGTGGTGTGATCTCAGCTCACCACAACCTCCGCCTCCTGGGCTCAAGCAATTATCCTGCCTCAGCCTCCCGAGCAGCTGGGATTACAGGTGTGTGCCACCACGCCTGGCTAATTTTTGTACTTTTAGTAGAGATAGGGTTTCACCATGTTGGCCAGGTTGGTCACGAACTCCTGACCTCAAGTGATCCACCTGCCTTGGCCTCTCAAAGTGCTGGGATTATAGGCGTGAGCCACCGCACCTGGCCTTTATCTTGATTTTTAAGTTATTTACCACCCTTATTTATCTCTGCCTCATCTTAAGCATTTATTCTTTTTATTTTTTTGAGACAGAGTATCTCTCTGTTGCCTAGGCTGGAGTGCAACGGTGCAATCATGGTTCAACCTCAAATTAACACCTCAACTGCCCCGTTTTAAGTGACCTTTCCAGGGCAGCCTCCCTAGTAGCTGGGACTACAGGCGCACACCACCATGCCTGGCTGATTTTTGTATTATTATTATTATTTTTTTTGTTGAGACAGAATCTCACTATGTTGGCCAGGCTGGTCTTGAACTCCTGGGCTCAAGTGATCCACCTGCCATGGCCTCCGGAAGTGCTAGGGTCAGAGGTATGAGCCACCACGCCTGGCAACATTTATTCTTCCTTCCCTCCATTGCCTTGGATGCTTTCTGTTATCAGGCATTCATTCATATATTCATTTAGTCATCCATGAAACTTTAAATGAGTATCAGTTATATGCTGGGTATGTTCTAGGTGTGGGAAACTGGTAGTGAATAAAATAATATCTCTGTTCTCTTGGAGATTACAATATAGTAGGGGAAAGTGACCAGAAACAAATAAATACATCATATGTTTGATGGTGAAAAGAAAATCAGTGCAAGGTAAGAAGGATAGATATTGATATGTGCTTTTAGGAAATAGAGGGTTTTTTTTGTTTGTTTGTTTGTATTTTTCAGATGGAGTCTCACTCTGTCACCCAGGCTGGAGTGCAGTGGCATGATCTCGGCTCACTGTAACTTCCACCTCCTGGGTTCAAGTGATTCTCTTGTCTCAGCCTCCCAAGTAGCTGGGATTACAGGCGGGCACCATTATGGCCAGCTAATTTTTGTATTTTCAGTAGAGATGGAGTTTTGCCATGTTGGGCAGGCTGATCTCAAACTCCTGACCTCAAGTGATCCGCCCACCTTGGCCTCCCAAAGTGCTGGGATTACAGGCATGAGCCACTGTGCCTGGCTGGAATAGAGTTTTAAAGGTTGTGTTAAGGAGTTTAATTTTATACTGTGACAAGAGAAGCCAGTTTGGGATTTTACATAAATGAGTGACATGCTGTGATTTGTTTTTAAAGGATCTCTCTCACTGCTGTGTGGCAATGGTTCTGTTGGGGATAATGCCCTCAGACATGATAATGACTTTCTTCACCATCAGAAGATTCAAACCTTGGATCAAAATGTTGAATATAATGGATGCGGGAAAGCCTTCCGTGAGAAAACAGGCTTTGTTAGACGTAAAAGAACACCCACAGGTGATAAAAACTTTGAATGTCATGAATGTGGGAAAGCTTATTGCAGGAAATCAAATCTTGTTGAACATCTGAGAATACACACAGGAGAGAGACCCTATGAATGTGGTGAATGTGCAAAAACCTTCAGTGCAAGATCATACCTCATTGCTCATCAGAAAACTCACACAGGGGAGAGACCCTTTGAATGTAATGAATGTGGGAAATCTTTTGGCAGGAAGTCACAACTCATCCTACATACAAGAACACACACTGGAGAGAGACCCTATGAATGTACTGAATGTGGGAAAACCTTTTCTGAGAAGGCAACCCTCACAATTCATCAGAGAACTCACACAGGGGAGAAACCCTATGAATGTAGTGAATGTGGGAAAACATTTCGTGTAAAGATATCCCTTACCCAACACCACAGAACTCACACAGGGGAGAAACCTTATGAATGTGGGGAGTGTGGGAAAAACTTCCGTGCAAAGAAATCCCTAAATCAGCATCAAAGAATTCACACAGGTGAGAAACCCTATGAGTGTGGTGAATGTGGGAAATTCTTCCGAATGAAGATGACTCTCAATAATCATCAGAGAACTCACACAGGTGAAAAGCCCTATCAGTGTAATGAATGTGGGAAATCTTTCAGGGTGCACTCATCTCTTGGGATCCATCAGAGAATTCACACAGGAGAGAAACCTTATGAATGTAACGAGTGTGGTAATGCTTTCTATGTGAAAGCACGCCTAATTGAACATCAGAGGATGCATTCAGGAGAGAAACCCTATGAATGTAGTGAATGTGGGAAAATCTTCAGTATGAAGAAATCCCTCTGTCAACACCGGAGAACTCACACAGGAGAGAAACCTTATGAATGTAGTGAATGTGGAAATGCCTTCTATGTGAAAGTACGCCTCATTGAGCATCAGCGAATTCACACAGGAGAGAGACCCTTTGAGTGTCAAGAATGTGGGAAAGCTTTCTGCCGGAAAGCACATCTCACAGAACATCAGAGAACTCACATAGGCCGGTCCTGGCATTATACAATGAAGAAAGCCTCTGTCTGAAGACTTCCCTCACCATTGGATCAAGCTCCTTGGGGCATATGATCACCAGGGCACACAGTGAGCCTGTGAAAATTTGGCACCTACATTTGTATCAAAATATGTCCTGATCCCCTTAGGGGATCACTCATTGCTTTTATTTGGATTTCCCTAATTAGTGGTGTGTGAACATCTTATCTGTTGATTGGCTATTTGGGTTTTTTTTTCTGTGCATTGACTGTTCATGTCCTCTGCTCATTGTTTTCAAATGGGCTGTTCATCTCTTGCTTTTTGGTTTAAATGTTGTTGTTTTTTAACATATGAGAATATAAAAATCCTTTTTTTTTTCCAGTCATGTGTGTTGCAAATATCTTCTCCCAGACTGTCATTGGTTTTTAAAATTTTGTCATCTGTTTTCTTCTGCTGAAGTTTTATGTTTTATTTATTTATTTATTTTTTATTTTTTTTGAGATGGACTCTTACCCTGTGGCCCAGGCTAGAGTGCAATGGCATGACCTCAGCTCATTTCAACCTTTGCCTCCCAGGTTCAAGCAATTCTCCTGCCTCAGTCTCTTGAGTAGCTGGGATTACAGGTGTGCACCACCATGCCTGGCTGATTTTTGTATTTTTGGTAGAGATGGGGTTTCACCATGTTGGTCAGACTGGTCTCTAACTCCTGACCTCAGGTGATCCACTCACCTTGGCCTCTGAAAGTGTTGGGATTACAGGTATGAGCCACCGTGCCCCGCTAAAGTTTTATGTTTTAATATTATCAGTTTCAAGATGATAATATTCTCCTATACTTTCCTCTAAAGGTTTTCCTTTCAACATTTAGAATTTCAATCTCCTGTGAGTTTTTTGGTATAGCATGAAGTGTGCAATACATACTACTATATTGTCTTTATGTAATTTTACATAAATGAGATCACACTGTATTTAAAGTTCTGCAGCTTGCTTTTTTCATGTAATGTTACCTTTCCAAGATCTGTCCTTGTTGATAAGTATAGGTCTGACTAGTCATTTATCTCTCCATTCCCATAGTAAAAGACATTTGTATGTTTTTCAAGTTTAGTGTCTAAATCTAGAAGTGGAACTGATGGGTCATAGGATTTAGGCAATGTGCTGGTTATTAAGCTATTGTGTCCCAGCTCCAAACCCACCCTTCTTGACTGTGCTTTGTGACTCTACAAACTACATTTTGGCTTTGCCAACTGCTCCCTGTTGGGCCTTGCCAATAGGAGATACTAGATATACACTTTGGGGCTGGAGAGGGAGGAAGGGACTTGATCCTTTTTTTCTATTCCTATTAGCTCTTGGTCATTGGAGTGTCTGCTCAGCATTGCTTCTTCACTCAGACACCAGCAGTTCCTTGTCATAGCAGCGGTTTAATCTACTTTGCAGCTTTCCAGCACTCACAGATGGTAGCCCATCCCCTCTGAGACACAAGTATCAGCTGGCTGGTGTCACCTCCTTAGAGATGTGAATTCTAGCCACGTGGGACCCCTCCTCTTTCCTTCTAAGTTTTATTAATTTCAACTTATGGTTGGGTGTAGTGGATCGCGCCTGTAATCCCAGCACTTTGGGAGGCCAAGATGGGTGGATTGCTTGAGCTCAGGAGTCAAGACCAGCCTGGGAAATATGGTGAAACCCTATCTCTACAAAAAAATTCAAAAATCAGCTAGGCATGGGACGACACCTGTGGTCCCAGGTACTTGGGAGTCTGAGACTGGAGGTTGAAGCTGCAGTAAGCCATGATTGCGCCACTGCACTCCAGCCTGGGCAACAGAACAAGACCCTGTCTCCAAAAAAAACTGTCAACTTCTTCCCTTTGTTATGCCAGCCCAGCTGTTTTCTGCAGTTGCTACCTCCCTGATAACTTTAATGTTCTCTTTTTGTCTCTTCACTTACTTGGTTTACAACCTCATAACTAGTTAAAATTATTTATAAGTTCTCTCTGTTAAAATAACTAGTGTGGTTTTTGTCTCCTTGTTGGCTCTGATTGATACAGAAGGTTTTTTTTTAACTTTATTAAGTATTGACATTTCCCTTCCAAATTGTATTAATTTATACTCCCATGAGCAGTTTGAGAAAGTTTTCATTTTGCCATTCAGCAGCACTTATTATCAGTCCTTTAAATTATTGCCAATCTGAAAGGTATGAAATGGCTTTGAGCCTTGGCTCCCATGAATGTGGTTTGTCTTTCTTTCTTTTGTTCTTTCCCTCTCCTCTCCTCTCCTCTCCTCTCCTCTCCTCTCCTCTCCTCTCCTCTCCTCTCCTCTCCTCTCCTCTCCCCTCCCCTCCCCTCCCTTCCCCTCCCCTCCCCTCACCTCCTCTCTCTCTCTCTCTCTTTTTCTTTCTTTCTTCTCTCTCTCTCTTTTCTTTTTTCTTTTTATTTTTTGAGACTGAGTTTCACTCTTGTTGCCCAGGCTGGGGTGCAATGGCGTGATCTTGGCTCACTGCAACCTCTGCCTCCCGGGATGGAACAATTCTCATGCCTCAGCCTCCCGAGTAGCTGGGATTACAGGCGCACATGACCACACCCAGCTAATTTTTATACTTTTAGTAGAGACGGGGTTTCATCATGTTGGCCAGGCTGGTCTCAAACTCCTGACCTCAGGTGATCTGCACGCCTCAGCCTCCCAAAGTGCTGTGATTACAGGCGTGAGCTACTGCACCTAGCCTATTTATTTATTTGAGACAGAGTCTCGCTCTATCACCCATGCTGGAGTGCAGTTGTGCAATCTTGGCTCACTGCAACCTCTGCCTCCTGGTTCAAGTGATTCTCATACCTCAGCCTTCCGAGTAGCTGGGACTATAGGTGCACACAACCACGCCCACCTGATTTTTGTATTTTTAATAGAGATAGGGTTTTGCTATGTTGGCCAGACTGGTCTTGAACTCCTGACCTCAAGTGATCCGCCTGCCTCAGCTTCCCAAAGTGCTGGGATTGCAGGAGTGAGCCACTGCACCTGGCCTGTCTTTGTTTATTTCTTAACTCATCTTTCCTACCCTTCAGTAGTATTTTATGGTTTTTTCCAAGAAATTGTCTATGAAAGTTAATTTTTTAATAGCAGCTTTGCATTTATGCAGGTATACACATATATATTTCTAAATATAATGATGTGGTTTATATATATATACTTACATATAATATTTGTGTCTCTGTCTCTCACAAACACACACATCTCCCTGCACAACATTTTTGTTTGATGTGGGCAGTTTTCATTTCCTTTTACCCAAATATTTACCACCTTGATTGCACTTCATTACTTTCTGCATTTCATCCAGGATCATTTTCTTCTGTGCTTGAAAAATACTCCAAAGAGTTTCCTTTAGTAAGAGTCTGCTAGTGGTGAGCCTCTCAGTTTTGTCTTAAAATGTTTTTCATTGTACCTTTTGTCGGTGGCTGGGGCCGGCATCGCGGGTGGTAAAAGATTTACCAAGACAGTCATGAATTAAATAAACCAAGTCTATTAGAGGGAAAGTAGATTGCAAGGAGGCAATGGGCAGCACAACAGAGAAAGGGGCTGTCTGCAAAGAGGCAAGAGCTGGAGGGAAGTTGTATAGGGTTGTGCTGGAGGGGCTATGTGAAGAATGAGTTTGTGCTGCTGGGGCTTTGCACAGAACAAGGTATTTGGGAACAGGTTGTTGTGCCAGCAGGTTGTTTGCGATTAGATTAGTGATCTCTCAAAACAATGGTTCTTCCCCACCTTCTTGCTTATTTATCTTATTGGGACTCTATACCTTTTTGATAAGTAAAAGTGAATCCTTTACCTTAAATATTTGGTAGCACTGTACTATGTCACAGTAAGTTGATAAAAAATTAAGTACTTGACTGGGTACAGTGGCTCACACCTGTAATCCCAGCACTTTGGGAGGATGAGGCGGGTGGATCACTTGTGGTCAGGAGTTCGAGACCAGCCTGGCCAACATGGCAAAACCCCCATCTCTAGTAAAAATTAGCTGGGTTTGGTGGTGCATGCCTGTAATCCCAGCTACTGTGGAGGCTGAGGCAGGAGAATCACTTGAATGCAGGAGGTGGAGGTTGCAGTGAGCTGAGATCCGGCCACTGCACTCCAGCCTGGGCGACAGAGCAAGACTCCATCTCAAAAAAAAATAAAAAAGAAAAAAAAAAAAATTAAAAATTAAGTACTTTTTTGCTTTTTTCCTGAGTATCCTTTAATGATTATCGTGACCCAAGGTATTTGAATTACTCATCAGCTACCCCACAATACAGCATATATTTGAATATATATAAAATACATTTTTTGTGTTTTCTGTGCAGTATGCCCTCAGTCTATTAAGTATTAATTAACTATATAAAGATGCCATTTCATCAATACTTCCGATCTTTAGCTCACTGCTTCCCCCCGCCTTTTTTTTTTTTTTTTTTTTTTTGAGATGGGGTCTTGCTCTGTCGCCCAGATTTTAGTTTCAGCTGCCTTCGCCTTTTTTTTTTTTTTTTTTTTTTGAGATGGGGTCTTGCCTGAGCCAGGAGTCTTGCTCTGTCGCCCAGGCTGGAGTGCAGTGGCCGGATCTCAGCTCACTGCAAGCTCTGCCTCCCGGGTTTATGCCATTCTCCTGCCTCAGCCTCCCGAGTAGCTGGGACTACAGGCGCCCACCACCTCGCCCGGCTAGTTTTTTGTATTTTTTTTTAGTAGAGGCGGGGTTTCACCGTGTTAGCCAGGATCCTCTCGATCTCCTGACCTCGTGATCCACCAGTCTCGGCCTCCCAAAGTGCTGGGATTACAGGCTTGAGCCATCGCGCCCGGCCTTTTTTTTTCTTTTTGAGATGGAGTTTTGCTCTTGTTGCCCGGGTTGGAGTGCAATGGCATGATCTCTGCTCACTGCAACCTCTGCCTCCCGGGTTCAAGTGATTTTCCTGTCTCAGCCTCCTGAGTAGCTGGGATTACAGGTGTGCGCCACTACACCCAGCTAATTTTTTGTCTTTTAAGTAGAGACAGAGTTTCACCATGTTGGTCAGGCTGATCTTGAACTGCTGACCTCAGATGATCTGCCCACATCGGCTTCCCAAAGTGCTGGGATTATAGGTGTGAGCCACTGTGCCTGGTTGATGTTTTTAAATTTTTATTATGGAATATGCCAAACATAAATAAAGATAATTTATAGTGACACAAAACAGAACAGTTGTTGCCTCTGGAGTGAAAATTGACTTGTAAGGGATAGGAGGGAACTTACTGGGGCGATGGAGATACTCCATATCTTCATTGGAGTGTGAATACAATAGTCATCAAGTGGGTAAACTTAAGGTTTATTTATTTTATTGTATATAAATTATATCTCAATTGAAATGTGAAAACAAAGCAATAAAACATCCCCTGTTCCCATTTCAGGAGTCATGTCTGGGCTGCCTAGGAGGAAAACAGAAATACTGATTGCTAGAGCAAATAGAAGACTCTTGGCAGTGGGCGACTTGGTCCTCCTAAGGCTTTAGAAATTGTTTTGCCCCATGAAAATGACGTGTTCTGAGGCCCCAGTCTGGGGTATACTGACTTTCATTAGCTACTATCACCATCTGTGGTGCTCCCTCACTTGCCAACACTGCACTGTAGATTTGACTCCCAAGAGCCTAAGGATAGTCTCTGCCAATCCTCCAGTAGCCACCATCATAGTAGTTTTTACCCCCATGAGTCAGCAGTCCAGTGTCTACTAACCCCTCCATTAATTCACAGCAGTTCTTACCACCCCTTTAAGCCAGAGCACGATGTCTGATCACCCACCATTAGCTCACATCATGTCTTATCACCAACCTTCACCCCCAGCTTAGTGTCTGATGATCTTCCATTAAGTCAGTATCATGTCTTACTTCCCTCCTTTAGACTTAGCATGATGACAACTGACTCCCATTAGCTCACAGCCCTGTGTTTTGTCTTTCTGTTGACCTAATGTAGTGTCTGTTGACTCCATGTTAGCTTCACCATTTTGTTTGCTAATTCCCCATTGGCTACAGCCTCCCAAGTTGCTGGGACTACAGGCATGCGCCACCATGCCTGGCTAATTTTTAAATTTATTTGTGGAGACAGGATCTTGCTATGTTGCCCAGGCTGGTCTCAAACTCCTAGACTCAAGAGATCCTCCTGCCTCAGCCACCCAAAGTGTTGGGATTACAAGTGTGAACCACCGTGCTGGGCCTCTCTGCTGATTTTTTATTAGCTGTGGGTGCCGTGTCTTTGCCACATGAGCCCACAGCACAGTGGGCTCAGCACAGCACAATGGCACCCAATGGCTGTTCCTCAATTAGCTATCAATATGATGACTTTGGTCCTCTTGGGCCTCAGCACAATGTCTCCAGAACTCACATGACCATGTCACTGTCTTTTGGTCTCCCCTTATCGGGTTGCAAGATTTTTAGGCTTGAGGACCCAGTGGTGTCTGCTTCCCCTAAAATAGCCCCTAATGGTGTGTCAACTGCCCATATATTACAGCCCATGAGTATATCTGCTAACCATACGTGAATGTCTTCTGGTTTACTTGCCACCAGCACAGATGCCCTGCTTTTGGGCCCATCACCATATTTTTGTCCTTACCATAGTTCCATCATTTTGTCTGCTGAATCCCCCCATTAGCCACTAGTATTGTATCATTGGCCCACTGAGGCCTCAGTGGAGTCTGCTGACCC